TACTGGTTATCTTTTCATTCCTGAGACAGTCATTTTGTCATAAAATTTGTTCGAATTGTGGTTTCAAATTTCGATCTCCACTTATCGATATGCCTGTGGATTGTGGATCCGCCCCTAATCTTTATAAATTCTTAACTTTTGAGAGTGTTCTTTTTTTAGCTTACAAAAATTAATTAATTACTAGTTCCTAAACTTTTAATTAGGTATTTTTCCACTGTGTTAATTTTGTTTCATTATAATCATATAGCATAACATGACAATTAAAGCATATTTTATATATGTAAGACTAGTTTTGGGATGTTCTGTACTAATGAGATTATTTTAGGGCTTAATATAATTGAGTTTAAAATCTGACAGTGAAACTAATGCATTTACTCACTGAATTTCAATTTGTTAGAATCCATGTAAATGAATTAAATTTACCCAACTCATTAGCTTAAGTTTTTGAGTTGAGTGGTGGTTTATTCATCCTTAAGATGGTATCAGAACTAGAGGTCCTATGTTCGAACTCATTCCCTATTTTATATTGATTTCCACTTGTTGAGCTAATGGATTGAGTGGCGCTTTATTAATCCTTAAGATTTGTAGGCTAAAAGAACTTGATTTTAAGATGGACTAGTTTCTGTATCTTGTATCAAAATATAAGAGTAGTGTTAGAAACTCTACAAAATTAAATAGATACAACATTAAAAAGTAGTTCGTACACTAATTTTCTGATTTAATCGAGGTATAAAATTTATTTACAAATGTTTCAAATTTAAATTAGTTATTTGTCTTCGTGGGTACATAATATATTTCTATAAGACATATGCCATTGAGATTAAATAAGACTATATTAAAAAGAAAATTGTCTATATGTTACTATTGGACGTTGATTTATCGGCTGACCACTATAAAAATTTAATAGTTTTTTTATTTTTAAAATTGAAAAAATATTTTTTTCTACCTTTCTTACTTATCAAATGTTCGATAATATGACGTTGATCGGTAAGCATTTAAATATATTTATTTAATTGTTAAATTAATTTTACAAAAGTTAACTATAGAGAGAAATATAACTTTTTTTTTTAGAATAAAAGTTATATAGACATGTCAAAGTGAATATAAGTAAGTAGTAATTGACATATATCTCCAACAAAAAAGTTGTAAGTTCGATCTTCTCATACTTAAAAAATGTACCGATATAATTATCAAGGAGAGAATCGTAAATAACATTCCAATTTGAAATCGAAGTGATCGAACACATTTGACCGACAATGATATACGGAAGCATATGCAAACAAGTTGAAAATAAATATAAGGTAGAAATCAGGTGGAATTTAAAAAGTTAAAATTGAATTAAAATTAGAAACATGGTAATTAACCATACTTCATATAACTTCCTTTTAATGGGAGGGGGATGCGAGAATCAAAATAATTACTTTTTATCCTCTTGGTCCTACTTCACATTATAATATATTTTGGGTGGGGAAAAAGCAAGATCTTGGAGAGTAAATCACGATAAGGTTTATAAAATATATGTATTATGTAATTGTTTGTTATATTCATTCTATCTACTTACATCGTTCATCGTTGTCATTTTGAAATTTTTATTCTCACTGTGTTGAATTAAAAGAATCAAATCGTTTTCTTTCTTTAACCACATATTCTCAAGAATAAATAAATAAACAGGGAGATTTTGTATCGTAATAAAATTAATTGGTAATTGTTTGCATGAAGTCTATGTGCAATGAAAAAGGAAAATAAGTTTTGTAAAGTAATCATGATAATACAAATGGACATCTATAAAGTTGAAGAAATAAAAATAGCGTTCACAATTCTCATTATTGGAGAGAGTTGTGTTGGTACTCCGATTGATATGTTTGTGAGACTTCAAAAGATATCTTGCCTTTTGATACATTGCCATCAACTAAAAATTTTTTAGGTCTCAAATCGTGTAAATTATTTTATTTTAATTCTATATAAAGCTAAAACATCTTAAAGCCTTTTAACATTAGTGGTTAGTTTTTTTAAAGTACATATTTGTTATTTATTTATTACTTAAAAATTGTAAAGTAAAAAATTTGTTTTGATGTAAGCTTCGAGTCAAGATGTGACATATTAACAAATGAGAGTTTGAACACTCCAAAACCTATAATACCACATTACACCAAATTTGGTATTCAATCAAGTGCACTGCAAAATTTAAGTTAGCATTTAGTTCGATGAGAGCTTACTAAAATGTGCATAAAGATTTCCTAGTTTTATAAAGATAATATTGAAAAATAGTGCTATGTAAACAGTACATGTTTGGTCAACTTATCTTGGTGGTGATCGATATTTTTGAGCTGTGATCTTGAATACGCATGTCTGAGAGCAAGAGGGCACCATGTGTACCTTGGTTTTATTCCTAACAGAAAGCATGGTTTCAAATGAAAGTAAGAACATTATTCATGAAGGGCAATGATTGGAGAAAACGCACCACGTAATGGAGAAATATAAAGATCTAAATAATCCGAGTGTGGAGCGGAAAAAGAGGGGCGACTTTTTTTCTAAAATGAC